TTTGGAAAATTTTAAAACTCATTCATTTTGTATATTCTTAGATGTTAAATTTTAAAATAATTAATATATTTAAGTATATAAATCTGGTTCAAGTACACTCGGATACCCAAAATATTTTGATTCAGTTTCGGTCCTTTACATAACTAAATTTTGAATCCATGGATATTTAACCAATTTTGGTTAAAAATTTGTACTACTTTTTGGATTAATTTTGGTTCGGTTATTGGGATTCAGTCTTTTTGCCCAACCCTATATTTTGTATCGTAACAAAGTTTTAAACGAAAGGGATGATGGTTCATACTGATTTTAGGTATGCAATAATTTTAGACCAAAACACAGTATGTGGTCCATTTAGTTAATCATTAAAAATTGTTTAAGGCCTATTAAAAAACGATTGACTAAACTAAAAAATGTTACAATTAATCACAAAATTTTCAATGTGAGATTTTTACCATTTTTAGTAATTTATGTTCGTTTTAAAAAAAATAAAATATAACATATAAGAAAAATATAATTTTATTAATTATATGATTAATGCGATTGTTAATTTCGTTTAATAATCTAAAATTAAATAAAAAATAAAGTGAAGAAAAATGTGTTATCAAATCTTTATTATTCATAATCATTAATTGTGATATATATGTTAATCTTTTTTTTTTGAAACACTATATATATGTTAATCATATTAGGTAATTCCATAGCTTTTATCTAAGAACAGAATAGAGAATATTCTTTTGAACACTATTAATTAAATATGATAGTTAGTTTAATAAAAAATATAACATATGTTTAGTTAGACTAACATATTTCTTCAAGAGTTTTGAAAATCATTTTTATCGTGACATGTGGCTACCAAAATAAAGTTATAATGCTTGAGGATTAATATATAGAAGATAGGATATTTCCAGTCAAGTTCTAAATCTTAGAGTTAAATGCCTGATTTTTCTACATATCTAATTGTTAGATATTTCTACGTCATATTAATTGGTGAACGTTTGAAATGAGAATACGCTGAAAATTATATGATAACCATCTCTTTTTAATACTTTAGGTCAACCCGTGAATCCGTTAGCCTATTGAGTTATTGTAGAGTAGGAAAGTCGAAGTCCACGCACTTAAACGTAAATGTATGTCATGCCACTAGACTAAGAACACTCTCATTTTCTTTTCTTTTTACATCAAATGGCTGATCTATTACTCAAGTTTGAGGTGGTCTGAGAATCCAGACCGAAATAAAACAATCTACATACACCATTAAATGTAAAAAATAGAATACAATAAAATGAAAAGATTTTGAAACTATGAAAACGAAGATATGTTATCTAGACTGTAAAGAAATGTTAAGCAAGTATGATGATACTTGAGGTGCTCTATTACTCAAGTTTGAGGTGGTCTGAAAATTCAGACCGGAATAGAACAACCTACATACACCATTAAATGTAAAATAGAATACAATAAAATGAAAAGATTTTGAAACTACGAAAACGAAGATATGTTATCTAGACTGTAAAGAAATGTTATCGAGACTGTAAAGAAATGTTAAGCAAGTATGATGATATAAAAATAATTTAATTGGAATGCACCAAATAAATATATATAAATAAAAGAGAGGGAAAATAGTTAATAAGGATGGAAGTTGAAAAGAGAGAAAACATGTGGAGGTCACATGGGATACTCTGCGCATTATTCTGCCCACCTCAAACTCCTAATCCGTTGGTTCTGTGAACAATACACATTTACCCATCTTTAGCTCCTGCATTTTAGTTACCTAACCATTTATCAATTTGCACCATCTTTCTATTTTTAGAATTTTCTATTTGTTTGGTTTTTAAAAACTAACTAATACATTTCTACTTTTAACTTAAGCTTTTCGTGTGTGACATTTAGATGAATGGAGATAAAACATCTCGTTTTATAAATTAACTCTATGGATATTATTTAATTCTAAAGCTAGTGGAAAAAAATATTTTCCTTAAAATAAAATTATTTAAAGAAAATAATACACATTTACCCATCTTTAGCTCCTGCATTTTAATTACCTAACCATTTCTCAATTTGCACCATCTTTCTATTTTTAGAATGTTATATTTGTTTGGTTTTTAAAAACTAACTAATACATTTCTACTTTTAACTTAAGCTTTTCGTGTGTGACATTTAGATGAAAATGAAAAATAAATATCTCTTTTAATAAATTAATTCTGTGGATATTATTTAATTCTGAAGCTAATGGAAAACAAATATTTTCTTTTAAAAAACTTATTTAGTGGGAAACAAATAATAGAAGCAGCAGGTTTTGTGAATATAATTTTTTTTGGGGGGGGGGGGGTAAAATTCTAAACCTAAATATTTGCAGGGTCATTAGAAATTTTGTTTCAAATGAACATAGGAATCCACATATAAATAGAACTAGTAGTCGAATAAGGAATTAGAAAACCTATACAAGAAAAAATATATCATCGGTTGGATATCACCCATCGATTGACTTTGATAATAGAAATAAACACTTACAAAACAAACGAACAGATTGCTTCTTTTTTTTGCTACTTTTGAGTTTGGTTCTTTCTGCGCACAAAAAAAAGAGAGAGAGTTTTGTTCTTCCTCTCTATCTTGATTAGATGATGTTGGCATATTTCTCATTTAGTTACTAACAATATGTTGTTATAAAGTCACACCTAACTAACAAAAATAATCTCTGGGATGAATCCGTATATAATCTAGTGTAGGTGGGATATTTATTAAGCTTAGAAACTGAAAAATATTAAAATATTAACTAATAATATCTAGCGTCGGTGTACTCATCTCATAACAGTCAAAAACATTGGTGTCATTGATATCATAGGTTATTATTCATAATGCAAGAATTGACTAAACTACATTTTTAGGTACATGTGTCTACATCTGTATGAAGCTGGAGCTTGTAAGAAAAATATCTACAAGTAGCGCAAAGATCGATGAAGAAAAAGGAGACAGTAAAAACACACAAGTAGAAAGTGAGACCCCATAGAAAGTTGATGTAAGTGTTTTGTGATTGTTGTGAGTACTTACAACCGGAAAGGCAAATTCTTGACTTTTCACATTATTGTCATGTGCGTGCTCATATCTACCAGTGAAAGCTTGAAAAATATCAACTATAGTACTATGGAGCTGAAAAAATATCTTCTAATAATTTTGGATGAAAAATAACATTTCTATTTCACCGTTAAACGTGCCATCCCGATTTTCATTATAAGAAATTATTCTAAGATCTGTCTAATTGGTAGACAAAATATTTGTAATATTTTATTCGATTAGTTATCCATACAATTCTAACTAAAAAATCTGGATATTCATAATTCTATGAATCAAAACAAATATTAATACACAATATTCCTAAAAAAAGAAACAAATATTAATATTTTGATATGTTATGCATATATGTACATATATTGAGTAAAATGAGAAAATTGATTATTCATACGAAACAGATTGAATTATATATATCTTCAAAAACTGAGATATCTGATTCTGATTCGTGTTCACTCCCAATTACAACTATTAGAAGAATCAACAATTTGATTTCGTACACTGATTTAGTCATCTACTTTGAATTTTCTTAGTTTCATGTTATTTTTATTTCTTTAGGCTTAGAATGAGACAAGTCTTGCAGATTCATGTAGGATCTAACCCATCCAAAATTTTTTTGAAATACATAACAGAAAGTATGGAATACATCTGATATCTTATTACAATTTAATAACTTTTCCATGACCAATGATAGTGAGCTAGAACATAAACTAATTAATTGTCATTGCTTAACCAAATTATCTTGGTCTACTGATAAAAGGGTTTTAGTTGTAATTTCCACTTTAGATTTGCGTAATATTGCCCACCTATAAACGTTTTAAGTGATAAAAAAATCTGAATTTCTATAGATCTCGTGGGATTAGTTTTAGAGTCTAAAAAGTCTTTAGAATCTCCACAGTTATCACAAAAAAAACAATTTGCCATTGCTCATTGCCTAAATACCATCATGTAAATTATAGACCAGTCACAATGATTTCTTAACTTTCTCCAATAATCATTCAACATAAAATACTTTAGTTTTTTCTTTGGGAAAAAAATACTACTTTTGTTATTCTTGATAACTTGGAGATTACCTTGCTCACTAAAATGTATTATTACTTTACATTGTTTGTAACTAATTTTTGTTTCAATAGTATTATTCAAAATGTAAAACGATTTCGATAACCAAATCGATAATACACCATATACAAAAATAAATTGGACATGTTGTATCCAAACACTCCATATTTTATCTGATCCGAATTTGTGTTAGTCATACGAAAAAATTAGTGTGATATCAAATGAGTCGAAATTTTTTTGCATTACTAAATCTCATCCAAGTAAATTTAATATTAATTGGTTAAGCAGGTATTATTTTATATAATAGGATTTGAACTGAAAATTTTAAAGTGAAAAATATGGTAAAACTATGTTAATGACATATTTATTAGGGACTTTAAAATGAGAGATTCTTAATTTATAATTTAATGTTTTTATTTTATTTTTATTTTTTTCTTATTTTTTTGGCTGAGAACTCGTTCTTGTCTTTTCTTAGTTAAAAATTAAAAAAAATTATCTTAAATGAAACTAAGAATCTCGTTTAAAAACCCCTTAATAAATTTGGCCTAAGTTGTGTGAACAAAGGAGAGATCACGTGGGGGAGGATAAGAAATCGAATTGATGGGTTCATGGGAATGCTCCTATTGCGGATCTTGCCTCTATTCACCACATTTTCTCTCCCTTTCTCCAAAATATTATTTACTTTTAAATCTCGTTTACTAATTTTTATTTTATTACAATTCTTTAAAAATATTATAAAAGAGAGAGAGGTTGTTTTGTGTTCACATGTGGTGTATAAATATTAAATACATAGAACCCCCCTCTCCAAATCCAACTCCAGAAGAAAAAGCAAGAAGCAATTCACAGTTTAGACTAATCTCATCTTTCTTTTTATAAAAATGACTTCATGGAAGAAAACAATCGCAACGCCATTCAAAAAAGCGGCGACATTCTTTAACCAACCGCAGCAAACGCCGCACAACCGCCACGCAAACGCGAAGGCGAGGGAAGAACACGAGAGACGAACAGTGAAGGAGCTTCAAGGTGACGTCATGGCTTGTGGCTATGAAGATGTTCTCGTCATGTGGTCAATTCTTGACAAGTCAAATTCTTCAAACAATCTCTCTTCTTGATGAAAATGAGAAAGTGTTGTGCTCTTTTTTTCCCATGTGTATAGCTCTGTATTAGCCCGCCATGTCTCTCTTCTTTCTACTTATCTTTATGTGGTCGCGGCTTCTTTGTTTTTCTCTAAGTTAGATTTTAGTTAATTTTTATCTGATGATTAGTTTTGATTCGGATGTTGTTAATCCCTGTGATGATCTAATCGAAATTACAGTGCGATTTTTCATTTGGTCTACAATAAAATTGTCTTTGATATAACTTTACAATTTCGGTTTTATTTGTATGTTTTTAGCGGTTTACCAAACCATAGATGAATCGAATAAAATATTAAGGACGTTCAAATATAATATACGGAATAAATATGACCATTTGGTAACAATGAATTCATTAAAAGATGTCCACACTCTTATCCAATAGTCCTTCGAACACTAGACTTGAGCTCATGCCTCATTGTTAAGTAATAAGTATATAACTATGTTACATGTCTATGTTTGACTGTTGTGAAAGATTTCAGTTTTGGCTATTGGTTAAATCAGTTTTACAGGAAATCAAACCAAATTAAATAGATTTTGTTGGTTCAGTACAATCCCGTGGAAACGTTTGGTTACTTTTTTTTTTTTTTTTGACAGCCATAACAACAAATTTTAACCCCCAAAATAGTAGAACATGTAAAAAAATTACAGACAGTATATCAATAATCTTCACATAAAAAAAAAAAATAATCTTCGCATAAGATGGGTGCGTAGTATAAGATGTACAAAAGTAACATAAAAAAGCTAGAATAAAAATTAGATGACAGCCCTTATACTTAGGAAAATCCAATCATTGAACCCAACAATATAATAAGAAGAGAGGAGTAAGAAAGAAAAGAAGTACAGCCGTATAAGGCACATAGTGAGGTAATGCGATGAATGATACGATGTGATTGTATTAAAGCGAAAGTGGGACAACATGATTCCTATAACGTGCCTTGTCTTCTCCATCATCCTCATTAACATCCCTAACATGTTCAAACATATGATCAGAGAGCTGGCCTCACTTCCGCAACCTAACATGGCCCCTGTAAAGGTCAAATCTATCTACAAACTTCTGAAATCTCATGTACAATTTTGGGAATACCGACTTTTCGATTACAAGGCAAACAACAGAAGAGTATATATATATATATATTAATTTCTCTAGCTATATGTCTATAAACTATTGGTTTGATGAGGATTACACAATTAAATGGAGGATGGGTATGTTGTTCAGGATGAGGAAGGACTTGTAACCACTGTTACAAGTTATTTTAGACATATTTTCCAATCATCAGATCTCAAGGATATAGAGGAAGCACTATCTGAGAATTATATAACCATTATATCACCAGACAATGATAATCTCACAGCCCCGGTCACCGAATGGGAGGTCAAATTGGCTCTTTTTACAATGCATCTAGAAAAAGCTCCAGGACCATATGGGATGACTGCACTATTCTATCAGAAATTTTGGGATTTTGTAAATGATGATCTAACTCTTATGCTTAATCAATTCATGTTTGAAGACACGGTCCCTTATGACCTAAATGACACTAACATATGTCTCATTCCGAAAGTAGATAAGCCGAATCAGATGAGCCAGCTACGTCCTATCAGCTTATGTAATGTTAGTTACAAGATAATCACTAAGGTATATTATGCCAGAGGTTAAAAAAAGTTCTACCAGATAAGATCTCAGAAATCCAATCAGCCGTTGTTGCTGGGAGACAGATATCTGACAACATTATGATTGCTCAGGAGATGTTCCATGATCTAAGAACCAAACCGAGTGGACACAACAAAAGGATGGCCATTAAAACAGACATGAGTAAGGCGTACGATATAATAGAGTGGTCCTTTATCGAGGTTACCATGAGAAAGATGGGATTTTCAGAAATCTGGATAACCTGGATAATGCAATGTGTAACATCAGTAAAGTATAAGTTCCTTATGAATGGCCAGCCAAGAGGGAATATTGTCCCGGAGAGAGGTCTAAGGCAGAGGGATCCTCTGTCCCCTTTCATTTTATTCTATGCACGTAAGCGCTCGTTAGCCTTCTAAATTATGCAGAGAATCAAGGAAAGATAACAAGGATGCGCATCACGCGTGTGTGTCCTTCGGTATCTCACCTTCTCTTTACTGATGATAGCCTGTTCTTTTGCAAGGCGGAGCCCCGTGAATGTAAAGAAGTAATGAAAGTGGTCAGGAAATATGGACAAGCTTCAGGACAATGAATTAATTTCGATAAGTCATCTCTACTCTTTGGTAAGAGAATCAGACAGGATGTTAGGCAAGAGATTAAAGACACACTTGAGATTCAGAATGAAGGAGGGATGAGAACATACTTAGGAATCCCAGAGGATATCAGTGGATCTAAATGCAAGCTTTTTGCCTTCTTTAAGGATAAGCTAAGGAATAGAGTAAATGGATGGACGGGCAGATGGTTATCAAAAGGTGGCAAGGAAGTTATTATCAAGTCGATCCTGCTAGCACTCCCAACTTATGTAATGTCCTACTTTCTACTTCCGTTGGAGATCTGTGATGCTTTAGCTAGTGCCATTGCACAGTTCTGGTGGAGTTCTAACCCCCCAAAAAGAGGTATACACTGGTCAACATGGGATAAATTATGCTTATCTAGAGAGGAAGGAGGGATTGGGTTCAGAATGATTCATGAGTTTAACATGGCGTTGTTAGCAAAGCAGTTATGGAGATTGGTCCAATACCCAGATTCTCTGGTAGCTCGAGTCTTGAGAGGCCGGTATTATCGATTAAGCTCGCCTTTGCGACAGCTTACTATTAGTAGCCCATCGTATGTGTGGACAAGTATACTGGCGGCACAAGAATTATAATTGATGGGAGTTGTAGATCCCAAAATCCACACTCAATATTTTGTAGAGATCGAGAGTTCAATCAGGGAAAGAAAAAGGATGTGAGCAACGATGCTCTTAAACACAACGATATAATCAGACTTCGGTTGACAAAATGGACTTTATTGAATATAGAATTCGTTTACAAGGTGATGAACAAGATCAAGTATAACAACAAAGAGTACAAGAGAGTGAACTAAAAATCTAAAGAATGAGTTCGATGTGATCAGTAAATTGCTCTAGGATTTTTCTCGTGTCGTTGAATGTCATTCTAGCTCTCTTTTTATAAACCCTTTGTCCTCTAACCGTCTCCGCGATCTCTAGAATCTCATCTTCGACCTCGTAAAGTTCGGCTCGATGTCGAGTTAGTGATTACTCCAGATGGGCTTGGGCCTGTCCAGATAGGTGCTGAAATTGGGTCCAAAATTGTCTCCCAATCTTTTTTTTTTTAAAGATTGTTTAGCTTCCACGGCGCAGAGACTCAACACGTGTCCGCTCCCTCTCGATGGACCGTTGGCGTGTGTCCCTAACGGCTACTTGTGCCCTTTTCAATGCAAAACCTAATCATTATCTCCTTGTTAATGATGGGGCCGTTTCTTGGTGTCGGCGAATTGTCTTATAAATACAAGAGTCTCCTCTTGTTTTTTCCTAACTTCTTTTCTTTCTCCGGGATTTTCTTTCTTTCTCTCCGAAGTTTTTTGCGTGTCAAATTTTCTTTTCTTAAGTAAAGATGGAAGTAACATTCAATTTTCATCCTCCGATGACTACAGCTGATGATCTTGAAGCTTTATATTCGGTTAATGGCGTTGATCGGAGCGTTCAGATCGAGTTGCCACGACGCTCGAGACCCCTGAGACCGTTCGTGAGGGGTTTTGTGGAGCATATTGCATGTTCTTTGAATCTTGTGGCCTTTCCTTTTCGATTCCTGCCCAGATTCCTGAAATCACAGCTGGATTGGATATCTGTCTTACTCAGATGTGCCCGAATTTCGTGAGGCATCTTTTGGCGCTCGCGAGGAGGGCTTGCGCTTTGGTCTGGAGGAGCTTCGTCACCTATTCTTGTTGAAGAGAAACAATCAGAAGCCAGAGACTTTTCTTATGTCGCCTCGTGCTGGACACCATGTTATTCAGGGAATTCCGTACCGCGACGAAAATTGGAGAGAGAGGTTCTTTGTTTTAAGATCGATCACTCTAAGGTAGGTGATTTCGACTTCGAGAAGATTCCTCGGCGTTGGTCCGATGATATAGGTTAGTCCCGCTCTCTTATTACGTATTCTTCTTTTTAATCCTTTGATATCTGATTGCTGGATTCTTTTCATGGCTTTCTCGTGCATTCTGGGACTTCTCCGATGTTGGTCGAGGTGTGTGGCCTATTGAGGATGTTACAACGAGATCGCCCGGATTGGTCATCTTTCAACGGCGAGCAAATTTGGGATGCTTTTTTTACTACCTGACGGGACTAATCAAGCTCCGGCGATTGCCAGCCGCTCGGTCAGGCTCAAGGGTACTGCGGGACCTTCTAATGATCCTCCTTCTTCTGCCAGATCGGACAGGCAGTTGGCTAGGAGGTCATCGTTCAGGATCCGGCGTCGTGTCACGAAAAATAAAGATTATGAGGGTTCGACCTTGATTCCTCTTCAAGTATCTGATGTCGAGGGAATCTCTAGAGCAGGAAGATCTCTGATCTCTCTGAGTGCTGAGACAGAGGAGGACTTTGTTGCTAGTGACCGTAAGCGTCGTCGGTCATCGGTTTGAATCTGTAATAGATCAGCTCCGGGTCCTTCTGTTCTACATCCGTCTTCCCTTGAGGAGAGGGAGGCGTACTCGAAGATCGCGGATGCCAATTGCAAGGTGGGTCATATTTTCTATCGTAATATTCTCTGCATGATCGAACTGGTTTTGATGCTTCTGGTGCTTTACAAGTTATGTTTGCTGTCGATGAGCTCGTCGCGATGTTTGTGGGCCGTGGTGACAAAGATCCGGCGAGGTCGTGGGCCAAGGTGAAAAGTCTCGGTGAATCTCTTTGCAAAGTTAGGGAGGATCTCAAGAACAAGACCAGAGAGGCTGATTAATTGAGGGACGAGTGGAAGAAGGCTCGCAAGGAAAAGATGGTGTTCGAGACTGAGGTCGACAACCAAAAGACGCTTGTCGCGGAGTTCCTTGCGGAGAGGGAGCGAGACATCCGTAGCGAATCTCGTGTGATGCGTCGCGAGATCGCCGATCGCTGCAGAGAGGCTCTGGCTCTCGTGGAGAAGAAGTGGCTGGACAAGAAGAAGGATATCGACGCAGAGATCCAGCTAAGGGAGGTGGTTGCGAACTTCGACTTGTTAAATTAGATAAAAGACGTTGGGCTGGATGTCGACGACGAGCTGGCTTGTCTCAAAGAGATGGGGAAAGATTGTGAAGTG